ATTAAATAGATAGATAGATAGATAGATAGATAGATAGATAGATAGATAGATAGATAGATAGATAGATAGATAGATAGATAGATAGATAGATAGATAGATAGATAGATAGATAGATAGATAGAGTTTGATTCACACAGTAATCTGGAAGGTGTGAATAAGGTCAATTCACAATAAATTTACAAAGATCAGATTTTTCAGGCATCCATATTTGTATTCCATGACTTTGTAAGCTAGGGAGCAAGCTTCTCTCATTTATTCTTGTGGTGCACAAAGGTGTTACACATAGGCGTTTCAGTAATAATGCTTCTCCCTTCATCTGTCCAGTCCTTTGACAGTCCAGGTTCTGCACCTCTACAGTGAGTAGTGGCACATTTCTTTTAATTTTGTATTTTTATCTATTTTCCGAGAAGATTCAATCTGCTGTCAGATTCAATAGTATCTTCAGGTGGTCTCCAACTGTTCTGTTGCTTAGGGAATTGCTTCTTACCATTTCTGTAAAGGTGACAAATGAAAGAGTTATATTATCATGGGAATGAGTACATAGTTGCTATGACAGAGTGTCATACAATATAACTTTGGCAATTGGGGAAGAGTCATAAGGGTACATGAATCTCTCCAGCATAATAGTTACTTCCTTTATGCTTGGATCCATCAGGTACATGACAACATGCTTTGCTCCTACGCTTCATATTGTTCTCATATTACTGTCACCAGTCTTCCTTCGATAAATATGTAGTGGTGGCACTTTTAGTTGAGATATTAAGTAAACAACAACTCAGTAACAGCAGTAAAACTGTAATAACAGAGAAAGCTGAGTAGCAACATTCAAATCTATATAGTGAAATTCCTCTGTGGATTGCAATACAGGAAACTAGGTACATTAAATTCACAATTAATGTTTCTCATATGATATATAGCTATCAATAAGAAGCATTTTGTGGAACAAGAAGCATCCTGATTTTTAAAAAAGTATGGGAACATATTAACCGTATGTGCATATAAATCTTTGTTTTATGCTATTGTTTTGAACTATTGTGATAGTACTATGTTTATAATGCACTTGGATCTGCCCTTATTCTTCACGTCAGCTGATTAGTTACTTTCTTTTTTACTCTAGTCCAGAGGGCTGAGGAAACAAGCAAGGCAAACCAAAGTGGTGAGAAACAGTAGTACCTGGCATTGTCCTCACTGGCTCTTAACCTGGCAAGCAAATAGTAAAAAATGTTAAGGACAATGAGCTTCAGTCTCTGGTATTCAGGGATGTGCACTGGGAAAAAGTATTTCTTTCATTTCAGGTTCTTTCAGTTTATTTTTGATATTAAATTTTTATTTTTAACAAGGGGGTGACAAAAAGGAAAAGGGGAATTGAGGTTAATAGGGAAGAGGAGAAACAATAACATACTAACATCCATTCTATACCTATTGCTATATCAAGATTCCAAGTTACTCTGTTTACTCTTTTCTGCCTTCCAGGTTTAAGTTCTCATTTCAATATATGCTATTCATGCGCTACCTATTGATTCAATCCACTTGTAAAATAAGTCCCATCTTTCTGCTGCCTTTTGTAAAGGACAGTCCTTCATCACTTCTGATAAAATGTCCATTTCCGCTGTTTCCCGTATCTTCTCTATGAGAGCTTCTTGTTTTGGTACCATCGGACTTTTCCAATTTTTGGCATAGAGAATTCTGGCTGCAGTGACTATGTATATAACTATATATTCCCTTGACATCTATGTTATCAGGTATCATACTCATTAAAACCAATTCTGGGGTTAATGACATCTTACAGAGCAATATTTGTTGCAGCATAGCATGTACTCTTTTCCAATACTGTTTCGCTACTCTACCTGACTACCACATATGATAATAGCTTCCCACATGTGCTTCACGTTTCCAACACAGATTTGATACATCTGTATACATCTTTGACAGTTTTTCTGAGGTCATATGCCACCTATAAAACATCTTGTATATATACTCCCTAAAATTAACCAATCTTGTAAGCTTTATATTACTTTGCCATATTTTCAACCATTGATCAATATCAATATTATGCCCTATATTTTGTGCCCACTTAGTCATACATTCTTTAACCGTTTCATCTTGCATTTTAATTTCTAACAAATAGTTATACATTTTCTTAACAATTTTGTCTTTTGAACCTAATAAGAGCTTATCAAACATCATTTGTTCTGAGTAGAAACCTTCTATTTTGTCTTTTGTGTATCTAGGTTCCAGCTGTGATCTGGAGCACCAGTCTATATAAATATTCTGTGACTCTAACTCTTCTTTAGACCTTAATTCACCATCCTTTTTAAAAAAATCTTGGCATCTTAAAAGTTTTGCTTTTCTCATGAGATTAGATTGTGTAAAGGCAAATTTTCCAAAGTTATCCATTCTTTTGTCCAATCTAAAATATAGGATCTATAATACAGAACCCAGGTTCTTTCAGAAGGTGCTTGTTAAATTTTCTTTTGTCATCATACTTTCCATGAACAAAACGGAAACAGAAGCCTCTTTTGGGTTTCCCATTGTTCTTTCCCCATTTGGGTTTTTGGCACTTCAAATGTCCTAAAAGCCATTAAAACTATTCCGAAAAGTCCAAATAAGGCAACAGATAGGAAAAAAAAATAAACAAAGAAAAAAAAAACTCCCTTTTAAAAAGAAAAGGAAAAGGAAAAAAAGGGGGGAAAATCTCCAAAGTAATCATAGAGAAGAAATAAAATAATAATAATCCCAAGGGGTAACACACTGGCACAGGCTGGCTGCTTGGCAGCACCAAAAACAACAAACATAAATAGGGGGAAATGCTCTCAAAAACTATTTTTAAAAAAGCAAAAAAAGAGGAAAGGGTCCAAGTTGGATGAATCCAGGCAGGCACCACAGCATGGAGAGCATCAGGACTGCACACTGTAATCACACATAGAATGAATGAAGCAAAAAGACCACTCCTCATTGGGTTCAGACTTCCGACAGATTCAAAATTTCCATTCCCTCTGTGTGTTCTGATTGGCTACTGATATGATAGACACTGAAAGGTTACAGGGAAGAGGGAAAGCAAAAGAAACACTGACGTTTCATGTACCTTGCATCTGTAAACATGAATCATTCATGTTATAGACTATAGAGGATTTATTTTTTCAGCAAATGAATTAGAAAGATAATGTCTTTAACGTTTTGGATCTTTTGCTCATTCCTATTGTTGATAATGGCCACACTAAGTGATGATGACTTTTTCATTGGCCTTTTGAGCTGAAACTGTTTATTCTGTCCTGAAGTAGATATTCACACATCATGCTATTTCTGAAATTGCTTCAGGTAGCCATTATGTCACAGCATGGATGTGTACAATTGCTGCAAGCAAGTCAAATTATCATCACCTGATGTGGCATTGCATATGTTGTCATCTGCTGAATCACTGAGAGGGGCAGGATTAAAAACCTATTTTGATTACCAGTTTCCAGCCTATTTTTTGCCTACTTACTTGAGCTATTAAGTTGTTTCCCGGCACAACACACACAGGCAGCAATCCACTTAAAACCAAACTACACTGACAGCAACTTTACTTGAAATGCATATTGTTGAAATGCAATAATCTACAATAACTAGTAATAGAGGGACTAAAATGTTGCCATTTGAGAATGTGAACACAAGCCAACCATGTCCTTCATTCCCATATCTTTTGTTTTTTAAAATACATGAATAGGGAAGAGCCAATATTCTCATAAACTGAAGCAAATTTTTGGAGTAATTAACAAGATGGCATTAAGAATGGAAGTCTCTGAGACAGGAAAACCATAGTTTAAGAGATCTTGCAGTATCGTAGGTCATGGCAGGGGTTTATAGACAACATCACAAGAACAACATTACAGAACACTGCATCTGCCACTTTGGGCGGTTTCCCCAACAATAGTAGCTAAGCGAGAATATAATAAATCTATCATAATTTACTCGGCATTCATATCTATAACTTGAAGACATAAAATCTTTTCCAGAGTGTCCAGTTCTGGCAAAGTAGAGGTGTAAGGATAGAGGCAGAAAAAGACAGGCCAAGCATCAAGAGGTTGTTCCTGCTGTTGTTTAGTCATTAAATCATGCTCTGACTCTTCATGACCCCATGGACCAGAGCATGCCAGGCCCTCCTGTCTTCTACTGCCTCCCAGAGTTGGGTCAAATTCATGTTGATAGCTTCGATGACACTGTCCAACTATCTCATCCTCTGACGTCTCCTTCTCCTCTTGCCTTCACACTTTGCCAACATCAGGGTCTTTTCCATGGAGTCTTCTCTTCTCATGAGATGGCCAAAGTATTGGATCCTCAGCTTCAGGATCTGTCCTTCCAGTGAGCACTCAGGGTTTATTTCCTTCAAAATGGATAGGTTTGTTCTCGTTGCAGTCCAGGGGACTCTCAAGAGCCTCCTCCAGCACCACAATTCAAAAGCGCCAATTCTTCGGCGGGTCAGCCTTCTTTATGGTCTAGCTCTCACTACCATACATCACTACTGGAAAACCACAGCTTTGACTATGTGGACCTTTGTCGGCAAGGTGAGGTCTCTGGTTTTTAAGATGCTGTCTAGGGTTCTCATCATTTTCTTCCCAAGAAGCAGGCGTCTTTTAATTTCATGGCTGCTGTCCCCATCTGCAGTCATCATGGAGCCCAAGGAAGGAAAATCTGTCACTGCCACCCTATCTTCCCCTTCTATTTGCCAGGAGGTGATGGGACCAGTGGCCATGATCTTAGTTTTTTTTGATGCTGAGCTTCAAACCATGTTTTGTGCTCTCCTCTTTCACCCTTATTAAGAGGTTCTTTAATTCCTCCTCACTTTCTGCCATCAGAGTGGTATCATCTGCATATCTGAGGTTGTTGATATTTCTTCCGGCAATCTTAATTCCGGCTTGAGATTCATCCGATCCTGCCTTTCGCATGATGTATTCTGCATAAAAGTTAAATAAGCAGGGAGACACTATACAGCCTTGTCACACTCCTTTCCCAATTTTGAACCAATCAGTTGTTCCATATCCAGTTCTAACTGTTGCTTCCTGTCCCATATATAGATTTCTCAGGAGATAGAGAAGGTGGTTAGGCACTCCCATTTCTTTAAGAACTTGCCATAGTTTGCTGTGGTCCACACAGTCAAAGGCTTTGGCGTAGTCAATGAAGCAGAAGTAGATATTTTTCTGGAACTCTCTGGCTTTCTCCCTAATCCAGGGCATGTTAGCAATTTGGTCTCTAGTTCCTCTGCCCCTTCAAAATCCAGCTTGTACTTCTGGGAGTTCTTGGTTCACATACTGCTGAAGCCTACCTTGTAGGATTTTGAG